TCAGTATGGATGGATCTGAATGTGCTATGCAAATTGGGGAAGATGGGAGTCAGTGCATTTTCTTCTTCAGTCCTGAGCAACCCTGAGGTTAGGGTTCTTTTGAATAAGGGTCCCCAGTAAAATTAAAAGACTGTTGTTAATCCATTGTTATTTTTTTCACCCTTTCAACTAAGCCACATTTTGAGTGCTTACTATATGCCAAGCCCTGGAAGACTGTACTTAATAAGACATTTCTCCTGTCGTTGAGGACCTCAGAACCTATCTAGATGATCAACCTAAAAGCAATTACAACACACGATGAAAATCAGGAGCAAGATAGGACAGGGGAATGTGAGAGAAGGTGTCTGGCTCAGAAAATATGGCACAGCTTCAGAGGTGGTCATCATTTGTAATGACTGTGTAATTAACCATCTTATGATTGAAACAGAAGGAGCTCAGGTGAGCCCAGTCTCTTTCTCTTATCAATCTGCCTGTCTGCTTATCTCTCTATCAATCTATGTTACCTATCTTTCTATCATCTTTCAATCTAGCCACTCAATATTTCTTCCAATATTTTTTCAATACTTACAGATGGCATGTCATTGAGATTATACTGCATATTCATCTTGCATACAGATATTCCAATCAACAAAAGATCATGAATGTTTTCTCATGTTCTTAAAAATTCTTCAAGAATGTCATTTAAAAAAATTAGACCTCTTATTATAATTATAGATTTATAAGCAGTTGTAAGAAATACAGAGAAATCCAATATACCCTTCACCCAGTTTGCCCCAATGGCACATCTTGCAAAATTATAGTACAATATCACAAGCAGTATAATGGCATTGATGCAATCAAGATACAGACCAGTTCTATCACCACAAGGGAATGTCATTTTTAATAACTGCTTAATAATCCATTTTATGGGTGTATCATAATTAATTAATCCTCCTATTGTTTAACATGGAGGTGCTTACAATTTGGGACTATAATAAATAATGCCAAAGAGAACCTCCTTGTATATAAATCTTTGCCAAAATCTCTGAATATTTCTGTAGGGGAAATTTCCTCAAAGGAGATCTGCTGAATCAAAGGATAGGTACATTTTATGGCCTCACTATTAATTGCCAAATTGCTTTCCAGAAAAGTTGTACCAACTTATACTCCTGCAGTAAATGAAAGTTCTTGGCTCACCACACTAACCAATATTGAGCATTTTAAAAGTCTTTGCCAATTTGGTGAGTGAAAAATAATAACTTGGATTTTTAAATTTGTTTTTATGATTATCAAAGGCAAACATTTATATATATACATATGTGTGTATATGTATATATTAGATTTTTTCTCCTGAGAGTTATCTGTTCCTATCTTTTGACCATTCCCACTGCATTTTCTTATTAATTTATAAATATTCCTTACATGTTTTTGTAAGATACTATTTTTAACAGTTTTATTGAGATAAAATACCATATATTTTACCTATTTAAACTACATAATCTAATGGCTTTCAGTATATTCACAGAGTTGAGCATCCATTTGCACAATTTTAAAACATTACCCTAAAAAAGAACTCTAATCCGCTTAGCTGTTACCACCAATCCCTCCATCTTCCCCATTCCCAAGCAAACATTATTCTACTTTCTGTCTCTCTATATTTGCCTATAAATAGAATCCTAAAATACGTGGTCTTTTGTGACCGGCTTCTTTCACTTAAGCATATTATTTTCAAGGTTCATCCACAGTGTGGCATGTATCAGAATTTCATTCCTTTTAAAAGGCAAATAATATTCCATTGTATGGATACAACATATTTTGTTTCTCCATTCACCAGATGATGGGCATTTAAGTTGTTTCAGCCTTTTGGCTATTATGGGTAATGCTGCTATGAACATTTGTGTACGAGTCTCTGCATAGGCATGTTTTCATTCCTTTTGGGTAGGTACCTGGGAGTAGAATTGCTGAGGTTATCTGGTAATTCTATATTAAACTTTTTGAGAAACTGCTAGATTGTTTTCCACCATGGCTGCAATATTTTGCACTCCCATCAACAATGAATGAGGGTTCCATTCTACCTACATTCTTGCCAACACTTGTTTTTGTCTGGCTTTTTGATCGTAACTATTCTAGTGGGTGTGAAGTGGTATTGCATTGTGGTTTTAACTTGCACTTACCTCTTGGCTAATGATGTTGAGCATCTTTCCATGTACATCTTGGCCATTTGTACATCTTCTTTGGATAAATATCTATTCGATTTCCTTTGCCCATTTTAAAATTGGTTTGTCTTTTTAGAGTTGTAAGAGTTCTTTGTATATTCTGGACACTGGGCACTTGTCAGATATGTGTTTTCTAAACATTTTCTCCCACTCTGTGAATTGTCTTCATTTTTCTGATGGTGTCCTTTGAAGCACAATTTATTTAAAAAAATTTAATGATATACAGTTTATCTAGTTTTTCTTTTGTTACCTTTACTTTTGGTGTGATATATAAGAAACTATTGCCAAATTCAAGGTCATGAAGATTATGCCTCTCTTTTCTTCTAATAGTTTTGTAATTTTAACTCTTACATTTAGATCATTGATCTATTTCAAGTCGATTTTTGTGTATGATGAAAGGTATGGGTCCAACTTCATTTCTTTGGCATATGGATATCCAGTTGTCCCACTACCATTTGTTGATAAGAATATTCTTTCTCCACTGAATTGTCTTGGCACTCTGATTAAAAAAAATAGTTGACTCTAGATGTAAGGGTTTGTTTCTTGGCTTTCAATCATATTCTGTTGACCTGAAAGTCTATTCTTACATTGTTGGTATTACACTGTTTTTATAATTGTAGATTTGTAGCAGGCTTTGGAATTGGAAGTGTAAGTGCTCCAACTTTGTTTTTTTTTTTTTTCAAGATTGTTTTGGCTATTTTGTATCCCTTGAAGGATATTATTCATATTTCCTTGCAAATAATTTTCCATTTGTGGTTTGACTTTGTGTATGGGTTTTAATTCACAGAAGTTTAAAATTTTGTGCCAGTTTATCGACCTTTCCTTTTTGATTTTTAAATTGTTTTTATATTTAGAAAATTATTTTTCATTGTTAATTTTCAAATAGCTCTCAGAACCTAAACTTATTTTTTCTAGTATTTCCTTATTTTAAAAAATGAGTTAGAAAAAAATAGTCCACTGTGAAAAATTCAATGTAATTACTTATAAAACAAAAAGCAAGAGCTTCCCCATAGCCAAGTGATTCACTATTTCACTCTCCAGAGACTAGCACTGCTAGCAGTCTGTATGCTCCCCAACCATTTCCTACGCATATACATATGTTAGTGTTTAAAAAGTGGAATCAAACCATACATATTATTTTGCATCTTTTTTCACTTGACAATAGAGCAGAGCATCTTGCCATATGTGGATCAATTGTATACTTTTTTATTATGCTAAGTAAAGTCTTTCCACCCCATGATTATAAAATATCCTCCCATAGAGTTATCTAGTACTTTCATAGATGCTATTCTAACTTATTTTTAACTTAAAGTTGTTAAATTAAAACAAAGTTGTAAAAGAACAACTGTAGCATTGGTGGAATTCTGAATGGCATCTTGTCCACAACAGAGGGTACAATTTTAAGTGGTTACTCCTCTCCCCTTTAGACATAATTAAAGAGAGGGGCTGCGCTACATGCTGCCTTTGACTTCACCCATTCAGACAGAGCTTAAACTGGCTAGAAGAGGGTGTGTGTGTGTGTGTGTGTGTGTTTTCTTCCCCTACTCACTCTTGCCTTTTGTACTTGCCTGCATCCATTCCCCTCAGGTATATATAGATCAGTGATTCCCCACAGAGTGTGTAAAAGATCCATTTGGAATGGTTGGCCTAAAATACATCAGACCACTCTCTTGACAGAACATTTTGAAAAGTATAAGGCTTACAGAAAGAACTGGCACTTGAAATTCCCCTGAAGACTTCCAGCATTGGCACAAAACTGGGGCAAATTCCTATGGCACTGACTTGGTGCTAGCCTTGCACGGTCTTTCTGCCTGACACCCCCTGGCCTCTCAGTCGTCCGCAGCTTTCTCGGCAGGGCTCCTGCAGGCCCTGCTCACTCCTCTCCTCCCAGGCATTCTCAAACCCCAGCTTTCCTCCGCCCCAGCCCTGGGGGCTTTGGGCCAAGGAAAGAGCTCTAACTCCTTCGTGTCCCACTTGGCTCTTTAAGGGGTGGCCTCCTCTTGCCTTTTTCTTGTACCTCCTATATTCCTGTGCTCTAAGACGTGTCAAGATGCTCAGGCCCCGGAGGGGATGGTAGCCCAGGTGTCTATACAGGGGGCTTCTTAGGACCGTAGCGTTTGAGATCAGGGATCTGGAGGATATGCGTCTTAGCATCCCCAAGGGGACAGGGACAGAGAGAGGGGGAGAGAGAGTGTGTGTGGCTGGGATTGGGAGGGTATATTCTGGCTTCAGCACTGACCCTTTCAGACTGTCCAGGGCTGGTCTCTTGGCGCAGGCAAGGACAGCAGTCCCACAGGGCCACCTGCGTGTGCCTTCACTGAGCAACGCCCCCGCGAGGCGGACCTCAGCCTCGGCCGGTGTGGCCAGGGATGCTGAGGAACGACCCGGACTTGCAGGAGTTGCCAAGGGAGTGCGAGGCGGGCCGTCTCCTCCCACCACGTGTGCTCGCTCCGCCCGGCCCTTGCAGCCCTGACAATGGGCGTCCCGGCAGGGGTTCTCCAGTTTGGCTACTAGAGGCCCTCCCCCACCTCTCGCCCCCCTCCTGAAAGCTGGGCGAAGGCCTGTGTGCACCCTGGAGGAGTCGCCCTCGCGGCGCCCGCAGTCAGAGCGCTCCTCCGGAGCCCCAAACTCCGAGCAAGTTCCCGGGCTCCGAGCGCGCCGCGCACTCCGGCCGCTGGCGCCCAGTCCCAGTTAGCGGGCTCGGGCGGCAGGACCACCCGGCCCCTCCGGGACTCGCGGGGGCAGACGCGGGGCGGAGTTGGGCGGCGGTGGGCCGGCCGCTGCTCCCGGGCCGCCCCAGCGCGAGGATGGCGGCGGCCAGGTCCCAGTTGCACCTGGGCTCGCCCCCGCGGGAAGCCTGCTCCGGGGGAGCCAGCTCCGGGCCCCGGGCCCCGACGCCGCAGCCCCTGGTGCTGTGCAACAGGATCCCGGGCCAGCCCCTCCACCAGGACGGCCGCACGCTCGTGCCGCTGGCCCAGGCAGTCCCTCTGCAGGTGGACATGGCCATGGCCCTGCAACGCGTAAGGATCTCCGAGAACTACGGTAAGAGCTACCTCTGCCTCCTGCAAGCGGTGTCCGCTGCAGGTGAGTTCCCTCCCGGCGTTGGCCGCCCGGCGGCCTGCGGCCCCTCTCCTCCCCAGGCCGCGGGGCAGGCGAGCACACTTCGTCCGGCCCCCGCCGTGGGGGCGCTCCCAGGCGGAGCTCACTCGGCCGCCGACTGTTGTTCCTCTGGCCTCTCCGGGCCCGCGCGCGGCCCTCGGTTCGGCCACAGCCCGCGGACCGTGAGAAAGTCCCGGAGGCGGGAGGGTGCCCCGTCGTTGCGCGCTCAGGACCCCGGTCCCCACCTCCCTCGCCTCTGTGTGTCCCCGGGGGCGTGCGGATGGACGATTCCTCCAGCTCCGCATCCCGCAGAACAGAGGCCAGCCTCCCCGAGGGTGCACTTCCCGGGTAAGGGTCCCCGAATGCCGGGAAAGCTAGGGGGCTTCTGAATATAACGTGGGGGCGAAACCACATCCAAGCCGACGCTGGGCTTCTGAGCCCTGCGGCCATGCAATCAAAGGAGGAGAGGTGGGGGGACAGTGCTGCCGCCGCCTCGGGTTCTTCCCCAGACTGGCGCATCTTCCCTCCTTGGTCCACGAGCTCCCAGCACCCTGGGGTCCTTGCTACGAAGGCAGAAGTCTTTGTTGGTCTGATTGGACAAACAAAAGAAGCCCGACAAACTCGCAATATCTTTACTGCCTTCGCCGCGGTTTGGGTAGGGCGCTTGGTAACTTGCGGCCGTGATGCGCACGGCGACCTGGCCAGGGGCGCCAAGCTCTGGGGAAGGTGCGGCCTGCGCTGGGGCTCCGAAGTGGGAGCGGGTCGAGCGCGCGCGCGAGCAGCCCAACCACAGGGTGCAACGTCGGGACCTTGAATTCAGCCACGGCTTTCAGATAAGTGTGCGAGGTGCCGCAGTTGATGGGTATGTCGGCCTCGGCTCACATTGCACTTCTGGTTTAGCAGGTGCTAAGCCTTGCCATGAGAGTTTTGGCACCCCAAAACGGACTCGGTGGCAATTCCCCCAAAATCAGGTAGCCACGATCCGTGTTCCAAATATCCCTTCTTATTCAGGGCTATCCACGAATCCAAAGGAGGCCATGCGAACCCCGTTAGTGAGACCAGAGGCAGTCAGTCAAGGCTGCCGTCGATGCCTTTTCCTCATGCGGAGCTCGTTGGTCTTGCCTGGGTGGTTTTTGAGATGGTCAGTATGATTTTTCTGTGTCCTAACTCATTAAAGGGAGCGTGGTGCTGGGGCACAAACTCCTTCAGATCTTAAGCAACTGAAACGGTGTTTGGATGCTACAAAAAAATCTCATGGAAACCTGTGCAGCTCAGTGGAAAGTGGAATGTACTTTGTGTCTTGTTCTCGTTTACCCCCTGCATCTTTCTGAGAGTTTAAACAAGCTTCATGGGAGAAACGTATGCTTTGTCACAGAAATGTACTTAGCTGTTCTGTAAACACGTGGACATTTTCAGAGTGGGTGATTTCTCATTTCTGTAGTTGTGTAATGTTTCATCTTCCCATACCTTTGAAAGCTCCTGCGTGTTGGGGATCAGGACACATCCGGTGCCTGCCACCAGCTGCTGTGCATGTTTGTACACAGGCTGGCAGTGCTTCGCCGCCCTTCGGCCTTGTAGCAGTACTGTCTCTCTCCCTGTGCACTGGCAGAGTGCCCTGGAAGGGCTTTGTACCTGTGCTCCGAGGACACATGCCATAGTACAAGAATTCTACATGTGGAAAGGATTTCGTGTATTTTAAGAGTATTTATGTATTTAAAAAATATATTTAATGAGCTTTTCATTGTGGTACAGAACTTTCTGAAAGAGGGTTTCACTCATGGCCATTTGTCGACTGCTCCCTCCCAGGGACCTACAGGGAATGATTGCCTCTATGTAGGGAGTTAAGGGAAGCCCTTCAGGGAGAGGGTGATGCATGAATTGAATCTTCATGGATGCATACAAATTTCCTGTTGGACTCAGGTGGGATGGGGGCAGGATTGAGTGTGGTGGGGATGAGCAGGGAAAGAGGTATTCTAGGCAAAAGGAAATACGATGTGCAAGAACTAGCAGAAATGGGGATAGCATAGTAGGTTTGAAGAATTACTGTGTGTGTGTGTGTGTGTGTGTGTGTGTGTGTGTGTGTTTTAAATGATCAGAGTGTAAATTGTCCTAAGTACAGCAGAGAGAAATTCGGAGGGGTAGGCAGGGACTGGATCAGGCAGAGCCCATATAAGCTTTATTTGTAAGCCCGTGGGTGCTGTTGGAGTGCTGTAAGCATGAGAATAGAGCATGACTGCTGCTCATGGTTGTACAGGTCGTGCATTGCACAACCCTTGGGGCTCCATTCACACAGCACCATGAGTGATGCCCTTGCTATGGCTGTGAGTTGTACAGTGTACAGTATGAACAGTGGTGGACAGTGGCATTGCATGGTGGGTCTTCTTGATGTATCCCTCTGGCGGTTGTGTGGAGGACATGGCGGGGGAGTATGCTGCAGAGAGGAAGGAGACTGGAAGTTAGAAAGAAGTTGTAGAAAGCTGGGCAAGAGTGGATGAAGGCATGGATTAGGACAGCTCTGGGAATGGGGAGAAGGGGAGAAGCTCGAGGAATTCACAGGGTAGAAATGATTTGACTCGGTGACTTTGAGTTGTGAGGTTTGAGGGACAGGGAAGGAGACTAGGTTAATTCCAGGTTTCTAGTTAGGGTGACTGGGTGGGGAGAGATATAATTAAGACAGGGAAGAGAGGAGGTAGAGCACATTTGGGGTTCAGTTTTGGGTATGTGATTTCTGTCAAATGTTCAGAGAGCTGACCACTCAATGTGGAGCTGGGAAGAAGCAAATCTTATTTCTTACTCTCCTCTGTGGCATCCATTAAACAACTCCTGGCACTGAAGTTCTTCCCTTAATCTGCTTAGATGGGTTACCTTAATAACTCAGAAAGCCTAGCATGGAAGTAGCCCACAGTATTATAAAATTACCTTTTGAACTTGCCCCAAGGGTTTTTTTCCTCTTCCTCACACTTTCCTTGCCCGATGATGGAAAAAAAGAAAGAAATGTCCTACATTCCTTGCAGAACAGAAGAATGCAAACTATAGTGATCTTCAGGTAACCTCGGGTAGCTCCGTGAAGGAGTTGTGAAAACGTGGCCACTGCCAATTTTATTTTGTCAGAGTTTAGATCAAGAAGATGTGTACATCGCAACAAAAGTTAATTATGCAATATACATTGCAGTATGGTGGAAAAATGTATGCCAGTGATGGTCATTTCTGGGCAGCACTGTACTCTGAGTTGTTCCACATAACTGACTTTTGTGGGTAACTAAGGTTCAGCACTTTTCATGCTTGATCCCTACTCAACCACCCACCACCGCCCAGATCTCTAACCATTTTAGATGGGAAGCTTTTCAAAAAGGTGCTTTACCTTCCTGACTCCTGAACCTGGAAATAATTGCATCCTTTCTTGATGACTCAAGGTTCTCCTAACAACAGCATTAGTTAGTTTCATGCAGTGTCTGTAGCGTGGCCTCTAGGGCTCCTCAACTGGGGAGAGCTGTTTGTCCCTGCTTTCAGTTGGGCACAGATTGTTCTGGCTCTTAATTTGTAATTCCTGTTTTTCCAATCTTCCTGAATATCTTGCTGCTGTTATTTTTTTGGTATCATTAATCTGCAAGTACAGAAAGAACATTATGTTTACTAGGTTCCCCCCTTCACCAAGTACCCCCTGCGACATACCCCTTCACAGTCACTGTCCAACTGCATAGTAAGATGCTGTAAAATCACTACTTGTCTTCTCTGTGTTGCAAAGCCCTCCCCGTGCCCCCCACACACTATACATGCTAATCATAATGCCCTCTTTCTTTTTCCCACCCTTATCCCTCCCTTCTCACCCATCGTCCCCAGTCCCTTTCCCTTTGGTCAGTGTTAGTCCATTCTTGGGTTCTGTGATTCTGCTGCTGTTTTGTTCCTTCAGTTTTCCTTTGTTCTTATACTCCACATATGAGTGCAATCATTTTGTACTTCTCCT